CTCCTCCTCCTCCTCCTCCTCCTCCTCCTCCTCTTCCGAAGGTCTCCAGAGTCGACCGGAATACTACGGGCCCCCCCTAAAACTTCTGGAGACCCCCGAAGGGGGTCACTGGAACCCTCTCTGGAGGCTGCAGGAGGGATAACCACGGGCAGCGACTCCGAGACCTGGGGCTCTACGAGGTGGAATCGCGCAAGCACAGCAGCACCCAGGCGATAGACAGCCTCGACGCGAAAGGTGGCGGCGCCGCTCCTCTCCCCCCTTTGATGGACGCACCTCCCCCAGTCATGCATCTCTCTCTCTCTCTCTGTCACCGTTCAACCTTGATACCAACAAAGCATGCACACATAGGAAAAGGCAGTGGGGGGGGAGAGGAAGGGCTACCCTCCACCGCCGCCGCCGCGGGGCCGGCGGAGGAGGAGGAAGAGGAGGAAGAGGAGGAGGAGGAGGAAGAGGAGGAAGAGGAGGAGGAGGAGGAGGAGGAGGACTAGGAGGAGGAGGAGGCGCAGGAGAAGCAGGAGGCGGAGGCGGAGGCGGAGGCGGAGGAGGATGATGAGGAGGAGGAGGAGGAGGAGGAGGAGGAGGAGGAGGAGGAGGAGGAGGAGGAGGAGGAGGCGGAGGCGGAGGAGGAGGAGGAGGAGACGAGGAGGAGAGGAGGAGGGGAGGAGGAGGAGGAGGGGAAGGAGGAGGAGAGGAGAAGGAAGAGGAGGAGGAGGAGAGAGGAGGAGGAGGAGGAGGAGGAGGAGGGCGGGGAAGGAGGAGGAGAAGGAGGAGGAGGAGGAGGAGGAGGAAGAGGGCTACACTCCGCCGCCGCCGCCGCCGCGGGGCCCGCGGGGCCCTGCCCAAGGCGCTCGGACGCCACACGCGGCCCGAGCGTCGCCTTCGCCTCGACGTCGTGGGCGTCGTCCTGGGCGTCGCCCTGCTCGTCGCCCTGCTCGTCGTCCTGGGCGTCGCCCTGCTCGTCGTCGTAATCGTATGACGCCCGTACTCATCATGTTCGTCTATATCCTTCTAATCCTACATCGCTTCCTGTTCCTGGTGCTCATCCTTCTGCTCATCATCCTTCTCATCCTCCTTTATCCTCCTTTTTCTCTTCTTCTTCTTCTTAGTATTATTCTTATTATTATTCCTCCGCCTCTTCCTCCCAGCACGGGCCTCGTCCATGAAGACTACCTTGCTGTCGTACACGTTAGCCCAATTCCTCGGGCGCGCGGTTTCGGCGATAGGAGGAAGGGAGTGAGGGGGAGGGTGGGAGAGAGGAAGAGGAGGTGGCGAGGAAGGAAGAGGAGGAGTAGGAGGAGGAGGAGGAGGAGGATAAGGAGAAGGAGGATGAGGAGGATGAGGAGGATAATCCATTAGGAGGATGAGATGCCCCGGCGTGAATATGTGCGAGGCCGAAATCTGGTGATCCCCAGGCCCGCCCGAGGCGACCCCCCTGTCTGGCAAATCCTCTCCAGAGGGATCGGGAAGGGGGGGGCAGGAATGGGGCTGGATAGCTGCTTGCCTCCGAGCGCCCAGCCCCAAGAATTCACATGAAGGAAACGGGTTCTGAGGCAAGCGGGTCCTGGCACCCTGGGGCATTCCCCCAGGACCAGCTCTTCATCCCGTTTCGTTTTCTGACCGTCCCGAACCCTGAGATCCGACGTTGCAAAAAACCTGCAACATCGTAAGAAACATCACGCCCAGAGCCCCGGACCACATCTTTCTGTGTCATGTTTCGAGCCGGATTGATCTGTGAAGGTCCCGGGGCCCGACATGGAGCGAAATTGCCCGTTGTGGAAAATTTACAACGCCAGGATCTCAGGGAAGCCCGTGGAGGGCCCCGGGGAAGACCAAAACGGCGAAAAACCTCAGGGCCCGCTTCCTTCATGGCCAAAGGAGGCAGCACATGATGGGCCGATTTTCCACCGCCACTACCACAGGTAGCAGAGGGAGGAGGAGGAGGAGGAGGAGGAGGAGGAGGAGGAGGAGGAGGAGGAGGAGGAGGAGGAGGAGGAGGAGGAGGAGGAGGAGGAGGAGGAGGAAGAGGTAGGGACGCCGAGAGGAGGATGAGGAGGAGGAGGAGGAGGCGGAGGAGGATGGAGGAGGAGGAGGAGAGAGGAGGGGGAGGAGGAGGAGAGGAGGAGGAGGAGGAGAGGAGGAGGAGGAGGAGGAGGGAGGAGAGGAGAGAGGAACGGGGAAGAGAGGAGCTTCGAAGGAGGCTTCGGCGACGACGATGCCGAGTTCCGACTACTGGAGAGGAGGAGGCAGGATGAGAAGGAGGAGGAGGAGGAGCAGCAGTAGGAGGAGCCTTCGAAGGAGCTTCGGCGACGACGATGCGAGTGTCCGCCTGTGGAGGAGGAGGCGGAGTTTTGAGGAGGACGGAGAGGAGGAGGAGGAGGAGGAGGAGGAGGAGGATGAGGAGCTTCGAAGGAGCTTCGGCGACGACCCTGCCAGAGTTCCGCGGGGAGGAAGAGGAGGAGGAGGAGGAGGAGGAGGAGGAGGTAGGAGAGGAGGAGACGGAGGGGTGAGGAGGAGGAGGAGTAGGAGGAGGAGGAGGAGGAGGAGGAGGAGAAGGAGGAGGAAGGAGGAGTAGGAGCAGGAGAGGAGGAGGAGGAGGAGGCGCTGGACACTCTCCCTGGCGCGCCAGAGCGCGCCGGGGGTCGTCGCCGGAGGCGCCGCCAGGAGGCCCCAGTGCCAGGCCGTCGGGCAAGAGGGGCGAGACCACCTCGCCATCGCTCGGACGTCCATTGCCCGTGCCTTTTCCGGCGCTTTGTTCCGCAAGGCTGCCCAAGAGGCTCCTCGAAGGTCCTCGCCGAGACAGAATGCACACGTCCAAGCGATGCCAAGCCACAGGGCAGGGAGCTATACAGCCTGCCTGGGCTGGGGGAGCGACAACCGGCGCAACGGATAAGTTCTCGGAGGTCCGCGCGTATTTCTAGGATCGGCGCTGGACCCCCTCCCTGGCGCGCGGAGCGCGCCGGGGGCGGCGCCAGAGGCGCCGCCAGGGGCCTTAGGAGGCCCCAGTGCCGATCCGAGAAATCCGCGCGGGCCTTCCAACGTTTACGTACAGTGGAGGCCAGTCCACAAGGAACCTTCCACAAGAAACCCAACCCTGAGACCCAAGGACGTCCGTGTTGATTTTTGGCGTGGGAACGCCACGCCCTCCACAGCAAAACCATCGAAACTCAGGGCACCCTGGAGGCGAGCAGGGTGCTTCTGGGTATGGGCCTCCCCTGTATGCCGCCGTTTTGCTCTTCGATGGTCAGGGTCCGCCGCCAATGGGGAGGGGGGAGGAGACCAGAGCAGGAGCGGATATTCGCATACATGTCTGCCCCGACCGCTTCCACGCCCGGCGCGTGGAGGACTTCCTCCGACGCGCCACCCTGCTCCACGGCGGCGCGCTTTCATGCCGACGCGACGCCACGGGGTCTCCGAAACAGCGTCGCCATCGACTCTGTGCAGAGGCTGGGCAGCCGACGCAGCAAAAAACCCGAAAAGGGCAGAGCCCTGTGGGATAATGCCAACGCGAGAGCGCCTCTCCAGCAGCCCCCCGTGCTCACCCGGCCATTTCTCGAACCTCCTCGTCCCTCGCCGTTCTCGGTCCCCGGCCGGCGCCTGCAAGAAACCCCGACGAAGCCTCCATGCAGAGGCTCCGGGAGCACTCGCATGCCACCGTGAAGCCACGGCTGCCCAAGGCGAGGCAAGCGCGACGCGGAGCCCGACCGATTCACCTTTTGCGTGGCGTTGTATGTTCGCAGCACGCCCTCGAAGATGTCCCTGACATCACCCATTCTCAGATTCATCGTATGGCCGCACGGGGAAGTCAGAATCGCCTTGGGCGCTTGTGTATGGCAGCAATTGCCCTCGCAGAAATCGATTGTCTCGACCCCCGGTGCCCGGCCGCTCCGCACGAGCATGTTGAGCATGGTGTAGGCTGCGACCTCGTGGAACAACCCGCCGAAATACAACGTCAGCTGTCGCCAGTCGGGCCACACGTGGTAGGGAATATAAAGAATGTCGACCCAACCGAAGCAGAGCCTGTTCTGCCCCCAGTTCCGCAGAGCGGGTAGGGCCTGCACTTCTGGTCTCCTCAAGATCTGGAGGCCCTGATCTATGAAGGGCGCCCTGTTCGTCGCCGTCGGGCGATGGTCAGGCATCGGCTTCGTGAACCAGTTGCCCGTCTCCAGGAAGTGGCCGTACAGCTCTTCGCCCTCGAGGCATCGGTTCGGAATTTCCTGGTTCATCCACTTCGGACTTCCATTTGGATCCTTGATGGTGTCGTTGTTCTTGTCCACGGGTTGCCACCTCAAGAGCAGCCCGCTGTCCGTGATCCAGACCTTCCGCCCGTCTAGACGTTCGATCGGGAACAGCCCTGAATTGATCCACAAATCGGCGTGGATCCACAGCGCCCCCGCCGGGGCGGCCCCTTCAGGCTGTCGAGGGACCCGAAGATTTTCGCCAAGCAAGTCGCAGTGTTACAGTCTGACACGCATTTGACCCGCACGGGGTCGCACCTGCCCTCCCCGACTGGCTTCGACTCCCACACGTCCCAGAACAGCTCGTAGTATCTAGCGTAAAGGTACCTGCGTTCCTCTCGAACGTTCTGGAGAACGAGGAGGTACGAAGCGAACGGTCCCCGCGGGGAGGCACGTCGCGGGGAAACCTCGCCGTGGGCGGCCTCGCCGTGGACGGCCTCGCCGTGGACGGCGACAGGGGTGCGGGGCGGGGCGGCGGGGGAAGGGGAGGGCCAGGACCTGGCGCGGGGAAGGCCCGCGCCGAACAGAGCGGGGAGCCGGCCGCTGCCGTATACGCCGCGCCGCGGAGGCCGAGGGCCGCCAGCGCCAGCGCGGCCAGCAGGGGGGGCGCCGTGCTGCAGCCCACGCGCAGGGACCCGGGCCAGCCGCGCGGCCCGCCCGGCTCGCACCGCCCAGCTCGCGTCGGCGCCGGCGCGCTGCTCCCGCCGCCGTCGCTCGCCCGCTCCCGCGGCCGCGGGGCGCTGGGCGGTGCCGCCCGAGTGGCCCGCCCGAGCACGGCCTGGGGCGAGGCTGCCTGGGCAGAGGCTCGGGCCACAGACTGGAGCCTGGGCTTGAGCCAACCATCCTCGTGCTTGAACCAAAATGGTTACGGAAAGAGCCTCACGGGGCTTCTTGGGAGCCTCTTGATGGCCTCTGGGGGCGTCCTAAGAGCCTCTCAGGCCGGAGACCTTGAAATGTCGCGCTCTTCGGGCCCTTTGGGTCGCTCTTGGGGCTCTCTTGGGGCGCTCTCGAGGCCCTCTTGACTTATCTGGGGAGCCTCCTGGGCCGTCTCTCGGCTTTCTTGGGAGCCTCTGCGGCCGTCTTGGAGCGATCTGAAGGGCCTCTGACGCGGTCCGAGACATTGGGGAGGCATGGGAGAGCGCAAGAATGCTTCACAAACCATGGGAAAATCTACATCATTCAGCTTCTGGGGCCCTTTGGAGGGGCCTCTGGAGGCGCACGTGGGGCGCTTTGGCGGCGTAGTCGGCCGTCCTGAGGCCATCTTCGGCGTGTCCGGGGCCTCTGGGGGCTGTCTTTGGGCGTCTTGGGAACCCGGAAATCATGTTCCCGGAGAGGCTTCAGGGAAGATGATTTCGAACGAGGCTCTCTTGGGCCTCCCTGAGGCCGTCTTCGGGACATTTGGGGACCTCCTGGGCCGGCTTTGGGGCCTCTTGGGCCGTCTTGGGAGGTTCCGTGAGCCCCACAGGACGACCCTTTCGGGCCCTCTTGGGCCCTCTTGGGTCTCTCTTGGGCTGTTTTGGGGTTCCTCGGGGGCGTCTGGGGCACTGTGAAGACGAAGCAAGCGAGTATGCTAAACATGTAAGTTTTACGTGAGGAACTGGCTGATTTTTGCCTCTTGAAGGTCCTCTTGGGGCTCTCTTCGGCCATTTTCAAGCCATCTCGGGCCCTCTTGCCTCGGTGAGGCTGTCTTATGGGCCTCCTGGGCGTCCTGGGAATCCGGAAATCATGTTCCTGGAGAGGCTTCAAGGAACATGATTTCGAACGAGGCCCTCTTGGGCCTCCCTGAGGCCGTCTTGGGGGCCTCTCGGGCCGGCTTCGGGGCCTCTTGGGCCGTCCCGCGGGGTTCCGTGAGCCCCACAGGCCGACCCTTTTGGGCCGTCAGGGGCCCTCTTGGGTCTCTCTTGGGCTGTGTTGGGGCTCCGCGGGGGCGTCTCGGGCACTGCGAAGACGAAGCCAGCGAGTATGCTGAAAATGTACGCTTTACACAAGGAATGGGCCGACTTTTGCCTCTTCAAGGCCCTCTGGCCCGGGGCAGTCCCAAGGGGTCTGTGACCCCCCAAAGGTTCCAGGGGGCGCCCATGGGGGATATGACGGCACCGGCCCGGCCCCCCCCCTGGCCTACTCCAATATATACATACATATATATATATATATATGTATATATATATGTATATATATATATACAAGACTGCATTGGCGCTGCGCGCCATGCACCTTGGTCCTTTGGCATTCGCACGCTAGCGGGGTGCGAGCGTGCGTACATGCGCACACACATGCGCCGATGAATACATAGTACATATGTACATATATGTATACATTTGTATGGATATGTACATGTATAGGCAAATGGTCAGTGCAACTATGTGTGCGCATACACATGCGTATATCAGGCGGTAGTGGCCTGACCAGGTGCTCATATCATCGCGCCACTATAAGGCGCGAGGGTCTCAGGCAAACGTGGTCAGACTACCGTGGGACAGTGCGTCGCCGAGGTCAGTGTTGCCAGGACGTCCCGGGTGAAAACGGCCTGAACACCTCTGCTCAGGGGAGGGCATATCCGAAGTCAGCCGGGCGAGGAAGTTTCAAGCGAGGAGTGGTCTGAACACCTCTGCTCAAGGCATCCCTGAACTTAGACTTGCGTGAAGTCGCACGCGAAAGTGCTCCTCGTTCTATTTGTCCTCGTATTCTCCTTTGCCCGTTTCTTTCCCACCCTTCCTCCTGCTTCTCCTCCTGTTTCTCCTCCTCAGTCCTGTGCCGATTGAGCTGAACCGGAAGAGCTTGAGAGGATGAGGAGAAGGAGGAGGAGGAGGAGGAGGAGGAGGAGGACGAGGAGGATGAAGACGAGGAAGAGGATGGGGACGAGGACAACGACGACGACGAAGAAGGCGACGACAAAGAGAAGGGATAATGAGAGGAGGAGACCGCCGTGTTGGGAACTCGTGGTACGCCTCTCGGGGGCCTCTGGGAGGCAGTTTTGATGCCTCTTGGGGGCTGTTTGTGGGCCTCTTGGGATCTTTTTGGGGCCTCTTGGGGACCTCTTGGGGGCTCCTTGGGGCCTCTGGGGAGCCTCTTGGGGCCTCATGGGGCCCTCTTGGGGCCTCTCGGGGCCCTCTCGCGGCGGAAAACTCAGTTTTGAATTTTTGGGCGCCCTCTTGGGCTTCTCGTGGGGCCGTCTTGGTGCTCTCTTGGGCCGCCTTGGGCGCCTCTTGGGCGGTCTCGGAGCCCTCCTGGACCGTGTTGGGGCCTTCTTGGGGGCCTCTTGGGCAGTACTGGGGCGATCTAGGGAGCCTCTTGGGCCGTGTTGGAGCGTGGGGAAGCGGAAAAAGCGAAAAGGCCAAAAACATAGAAAAACACATGGGAAAATCAACCATTTCAGCCTCTCGGGGCTCTCTTGGGAGGCCTCGTGGGGGTCTCTTGGGGCGTCTTGGAGGCCTGTTGGGCAGTCTTGGGCCCATATTGGGCGTCTTGGGCCGATCTTTGGGTGTCTCGGGGGCCTCTTTGGCCGTCGTGGGGGCTTCTTTTTTCGCGTCGGACTCGCAGGACAGACCTGCCTGGGGGGTCCAGGAGGACCGGAGATCCACGGAAGCACTCTGCAGGAGCGCCCCAGAGGCTCGGGGAGGCCGAAATTCGTTTGGGGGGGGGGGGGGCACCGTGTGCCGCTTTTGTGGGGTCCCCGGCCCTGTAAAAATATATAAATAGGAAAATAGGTGTATATATATATATATATATGTGTGTGTAGATCTATGATGTGTGTACGTGCATGCGCGCGCGGGGAGTGGCACATGTGTAACAGAAGAGCCTCGACGTATCAAACTACACACGACGTGGAAAACCACACAATCCTGATTGCACGTGCGTTTCCGCCTCTCATAGTCGCAAGTGAGTGCGCGGAGGCCGGAACTGACTCGGCTATCGAACTCTGAGAGCTGGACTCTGAGAGCTCTGAAACACAGGAACAGCTGAAAAGGGCTCAATTATTGTCGGCCATGGGGTGCTTCTCTGGAGCCGGCTGGGGGCCTCGTGGGGGCCTCTTGGGACGTCTTTGGGGCGCCGCGGGAGCCTCCGGGGAGATTTTCTAGTCAGGCCCAGGCGGAAGGCTTGACACGTGTGACTGTCGGCTACTACAGCCTTCTTTTGGAGGCCTGCATGGGCCTCTTGGGGCGTCGTGGGAGCGTCTGGGAAGATCATGGGGCGATCCTGAAGCGGAGTGTTCGACATACGATGTCGTGTTCCCCCTCCTGGCCCTCATTGGAGCCTTCTTCGGGCTGTCGTGAACCGTTTTGAAAACGTCTGGGGCCGTCATGGCGCTCTTGTGCACCGTCGTGACGCCCTCTTGAATCGATTGGGCTCCTTGGGGCGACCTGGGGGGCTTCTTGAACCGTCTTCAGGCCTTTTTAGGTCGTGTTGGGTCCCTCTTGGGGCAGTCTTGGGGGTTCCTTGGGCCGTCTTGGAGCGTGGAAGCGTGAAAATGGGACAACGCCGAATTCCTGCAAGAACTGTGGGAAGTTCACGGTATTCTGCCATTTGGGCTCGCTTGGGAGCCCTCGTGGACCTCCTTTGGTGCCTTTCGGGCGCCTCTTGGGCAATCTGGAGGCCGTGTTAAGCGTCTTGGTATGCTTTTGAGCTGTCGACGAGCTGTCTTGGGCAATATTGGAGGCCTTTGTGATCCATTCGAGAAAGCCGGAGGGCCGAAGGTACGCTGTGCAGGGGCGTCCGAGCAGGCCGGGAGCCGAAATGCGCTCGGGGGTGAGTGGGTGGGCCCTACGAAACAGAACGATCATAGCATCGCAGTTATATAGAGACCGAGGAAGAGAGCGAGAGGGAGAGGGAGAACCGCCCCTGCGCCCCTGGCCCTGCTTGGCCGCCCCTGCGCCCCACTTCTTCCTCCTCTCTCCTCCCCGAACATTCTGGCACTGCCGTCCCGCGCGCTCTGACGTGGTTCGGCACAAGGGGGCCGCCGCCAGCCGACCCTGCCCGGGCCTGGTTGTCTCCTGAGTGTCGGGACTGCCATTCTTCCCCCTCCCCCCCGAGAGGGAGAGGGAAAGAGTGACCCCCCCGCGGGGGCGGGGGGGAGCACCCCTCCCTGGGAGAAGCTTTCGGCTCCAGAGCGTCAGCGTCGTCGTCGTCCCCTTTCAAGGTAGGCGGCACCGGCCGCTAGGCCTTCGCAATTAAGCGAGAGAGAAAGGAAATCATGATGGACCCATGAACCCGGAAAAGGGTATATAATGTTGAAGACACCGGTAATCATGATGCCGTGCCACAAGTTCCGCTACACTGTGCTGCGACGCGCCGCGCTACGTTGCACTGCAATGCCACGTTGCGCCGACGCCGAACTGGGCGACGGGCACTTGCACTGCTGAAGGTATCGATGGCGATGTGCAGTGCTAGGGGCTGTACTGCGCCGTGCTATGCTGACATGGAACTTATCATGCTGCGCTGAACTGTGCTGTGCTCTATTGCGTTGTGGA